ATACCTCTGCAACAAAGGTGACAGTGGTGTTACTAAATAGAGGAAATGGTTTTTTTCCATGAAATTTATTAGCTGATATTTCAAACTTAGGCAACTATCGTTGAGCAAAATAGGTTCTCACCAGAGGCACCTGTTATACTAAAGGGTACAATTTATTTCCAAAATTCAAAACAAATATATGTTGATTTAAACGGATCAATCATTTACACTTGATAAAGTTATTTTTATTATCGCATAATACTAGCGCTCCCAGTATATCCACAATTTCTTCAAGCATGGTATCGTGATTTTAAGACAAATCTGCCTTTGGGTATAATGAATGTAGAAAGGCAAGTATTTGGTGCACCTATCAGGAAAGATATACTTCAACGAGCGGTCATTTGGCAGCGTGACTGTCTCAGACAAGGAACGCATTCGACCAAAAACCGAAGTGAAGTAAGCGGAACAACCAGAAAATGGGCTCCACAAAAGGGCAGGGGTAAAGCGAGAGTTGGTAGTCATCGTGCACCTCATTGGAGGGGTGGTGAGTACTTTTCTTAAAACGAATATAAGAGATAAATACAGAAACATATTTGAATTCCTTGCGACATGTTCTTTAACGTAACAGAGCCCTTTTATGAATTATTACAAGAGCAAATTGAAAAATTCACTGTTACGTTAGAGAATATGCCGCAAGGAACTCCAACATACAATTATATCAATGCAAATACTCTGGTTTAAAGGTAGTTAAAATTTGAATTTAGGCCGTGCAAAATTAATTAATTGGTTTTCATAACCGCCGGGTCAAAATTTGAAACCTTGTAAAAAAAATTTTTTATGTTTAAATAACCGGGTAGGCTTTTTAAAAAATTTTATATGAAATTTAAAAAAAAAAGCCGTCCGGCCGGGTCTGTTTAAAAGTTTCATGTTACGAAAGCCAAGGTATTAAATTTGTGCGGCCTTAATATTAAAAAAAAAAAGGAGGCAAAAAAAACAGTATATGCATATTGATATTAAGTAAATGTAATTGACATAATTCCATGTTCTAACAATTTCAAATATGGTCGATTAAGGTGGAGTTGCTCACGGACCCAGGCCACGTTCTCACGCCACTGACCTTCCACGTCAAGTCCAAGAGTTAGCCCTCCGCTCTGCTCTCGCTACAAAGTTTGCGCAAGACCAGCTTGTCATCGTCCAAGACGTGCTTTTAGAAACAGAGAAAACAAAAGAATTAAGGGCTATTCTTGATAGAAATGCATGGGATCCCCTTACCAAAGATAGAAAACAAGGACACTCAATCCTGATCTTGACTAAAGAGCATAAATATAATTTAGATCTTGCCTCAAGGAATCTGCAACGTGTTCATGCTTTGACAGCAGAAGAAATTCTTGATGCGGGTGATGTTTATAATATCATTGGTCATGAAATTTTGATTATGGATAGGGAAGCGACAGAAATATTGCAAACAGCATTGAAACCTAAATGAAACATACGCGTCTGTGTTTAGCATATGAATCTCATCTGTCTGTACTATTAAAATTTTTAATGTCTGCCTGTTCGTTTTAAATAATCTGATTGGTCGATTTAAGTACCCCGTGACCTGGGTCATTTGTTGAATCGCGCCTCTTTAGTGTTAGAGTTAAAAGAATTCTATAGTAAAATCGTTCAAGAAAAACCTTTTGTTAATGTGCAGGAGGTGGTTTCCTGTGCAGATTTTGAGTTATAAGCGATTTTTGACAAAACTAACGTTTGTTTTTGAATTTTCTGATCGCGTAACGTTACACCAAATCGAAATGTATTATTGGCTTATTTTCGTCGATCCTCATGTAATTTGTTGGCGAAGATCAGGTTTAATATATAAATTTGTATACGAAAATATTTTAAATATGAAAAAAATTTTTTATAAAATTTTTATTTTAATTGGTTGTAGTGATTCTTCAAAATCTAAGTTATATAACACATTTACAGCTACAATATAAAATATTCTATGTAATCTGATTAGAAGATAAAAATTTAATTTTATTATATTTTTAAGTCATTTTATCTTTTTAACATTATTTCAAAATCAATATAAAAAATCTTTAATTAATTTTAAAATTATATTATAAAAGAGAACCTCTGTATAGTTTTTTTTTCACTTTGATAGTTTTGCTAGTAATTTTTATTAAAATTATTTTATATAAACTATTTTAAAATATTTAGTTTAATATCTAAATCTAATATTTTGCAGTTATTTTTTAATAAACCATATATAATTGAAATTAATATTCATAAGGAATTCTTTTATTATTTGAGCATTTTCAAGTAATCATTGTATCAGGCAAATCATCAACTTGGCTAGCCATCATGTTATAATATAGTAGTATATTGCTAATCTAATATTTTCTTATAAAGAAATGAAAAGAAAAAAAATTATATATAAAACAAAACAAAGGTATAAAAAAAAATAATAAAATATATAAGAAAGAAAAAAAGAAAAGAAGCACTAAATAAAAAAAGAGCCAAATAGTTATAATTATTGGACTGTATTGAGCCTTTAAAAATTATATATAACTAAATATAAAAATCTTTTAACTAACAATTTTAACTAACAAATACACATATAATTACAAGCTTCTTCAATATTTGAGATAGAAAATTCAGAATTGATCAAAATACTGGTAGTTTGAATCATTGTTTATTTATCAAAACATATAACTAATATGTTCTTTATTCTTTGCTTAATCAAAGTAAATAAAGTTTACTTATACAAAACATCTTTTGGATGCTAAACAATAATAACCAATTTGAAAATTAGAATATCAATCTTTTTAAAAAAGTAAACTAAATTATCTATTTTTGTAAAAAATTTCATTAAGCAAAAGTAAAGAGCCAATAGATCTTTGTGAATTGTTTTTGAAAATTTTACAATTATATAGGAATATCCTTTAATTTTTAGTATTCTTGACATTGATCTAATCATTCTGCATTTTCAAAATATCCTCTTGGTTTAAATGTCAAATATAATTGAGAAATCTATTAAGCAGAAATTTATTTCTATAAAAACTAGTCTAAAGTAATCTGTTCCTTGATTTTACACTCTTAATATTTTGTCAACAACACATCTGCTTCTATAGAACTAAAAATATTATCTGTATTGGATGTCTTCTATAATATTTTTTTGTAATTCAATTTTTGAAATATTGACCAAAAATTGTTAAAAAGAGTTTACTGAAACCTCTGCATAGTAATTGTAAAAAATTATTATAAGTATCATATGAAAATACCTTTTTTAGTATTAAATTTTGATACAAAAATCCTATTACAGTCAACACTAAATAACTAATTTTTGAAATATTGATAAAAAAAATTTTATAAAATAAGAATTATATAATAATCAGAACGTGACATACTTTTATTAGCCTAGAAGATAGGGTGTGGTTTAATAAAATTTAGAGTAAATGCACAAAAACAGGTCAAAAATCATTTAGCATACAAATTTGTATGCTAGACGGTTTAAGGGATAGTATTTTGGAGGCCCTTTTTTTAAGAACCCTATCAGGAATAGTATGTAAATCGATTACTTTTCCTACCCTATCAGGAACAGTACCAACGATCCATCAGGAACGGTATTTTTGCCATTTCGCCCATTCTATACCAGACTACGAGATTTCAAATCTATGATTTATTGGACTCAGCCAACAAGTAGTCATAACGATAATTGGCTAAAATTAAATTAGAGTTAGATCTTGCATGCATTAATTAACGTTACTTTGACAAAGTTATAATAGCACGTGTTCAAAATAACCATCTTGATTAAGAAGCCCGCATTCTGTTGTGTAAAGAATTTATACCGAAATTCCTAGCCTCACTTAGCGGTTCTTCTAAATTGTCAGCTATGGCACCGATTGTTGCATTAGAATAGAATCCATTAACGTGTACTAACTATTGCTTTGAAACATGGAAAAGATAACATGTGTTATAAGATTGATGCTGTTACGCACAGATCGGTGCAAATTTAATTGTAAGAAAGGTATCATTGTATTGTGATTCAATATTATTTTTAGTGTTTTAAATATAGTGATCCTAGGATATAACAATATACTTTATGTAACGACATTTAAAATCTTTATCATATATAACAGTAGTTTGGTGACGACTTTTTAATTTTCTACTAATTTCTCGGTCAATGTTATCATTATAACCAGGATCACATGTACAGAACTTTTCCATTCGATTACATGGACTACATTAACTAGTTGGTAATCATGAGGTTCATTATGTATATTCGTTTATTAAATAAAAATGCACCATAAACCAATAAAATAGAGAATATAAATCGGATATAAACCGAATTAGAATATAATAACTGATAACCTATCTATGAATCCGGATCCAATTAAATGTCCGGGCACTATTTGTACAGTCCATTCGCATTAATGTATTTGATTACTGCATTAGGAAGTAAATATTTTATGGACATGCCACGTTTCACGAACAGACTATGACAAACAATGATTAGTGAGAATCCTTAGGTGATTAAAAGCATATAATAGAAATTGATTGAACTTCATACCGAACTTTCGTAGAACTGATATCATTATAAATCAACTGCTTGATTACGTAGACGTTTTTCTATTAAAAATATATATATACGCGTATGCATGAACGATGGTTGATATATTAAAGAAATATAACATTAATGACGGAGGCGAAAGAATATCTCGCGACTCTGCGATCAAGTCCAGTGATTTTCATGCCATACGGTTCCTCTCTTTTGAGATATTCGATTCGCCACATAATACCTCGTTTTAGGCATATGTATATGTATATTGAAAAAAAAAGGTTTAAATACCCTATGCTGGTAGAGTATGTCATGTGATAGCAAAAAACCCCACACATCCGCCCCAGTTCTTTCAACTATGAGAACTCCATAATCGCCCAAAATATGATGAAGCTAATAAGAAATTGGGCATTGTAAGTTTCAACATATAAGTTAAGAGAAAAGTAATGTTAATGCGCTTAATATGAATCATACATCTTCATCCAACCAAAGCTTTGGAACCTTGAACGATTCGATTAGATCGCCACCGGCTAAAAGCATGATTCTGACCTTCCGGGACTTGCCTTCACAAATAATTTTAATGAAGTATTTGTGATTAAAACTTATTGCGAAAAACCAATATAAATTCAATTACTTACCATCTGTTGTCATAATGCCACCACGTTTATTATTAATTTCCTCGTTAAAGTGATCCATAACTATAGCTGTCTGCGTATATTCATTTTGCAAAGTTTCCCATGCATCAACCATTAACCATTGAGAGGTTCTTTCGACAGCAAGTTCGCACATACGAACTCTATGATAAGAAGGTGCTAGCCCATCCTTTGTATAACGATCCGATACGGGGGAATAATAGCCACCGATAATTTCAAATTGGGTATGTTCTGATATGTAATCTTTTGCCATTTCTGAGAAATTGTCATTGTTGTAAATAGATACAATCAATTTACAAAACGCAAAACCGAAAAATATCCTATGAATGTATATACTTCTCACCGAATATCCGTAAATGAAGATATGTTATGGGAGAAAAAGATCCACATGCAATAATAGCAAGGGGTTCTTTCGTTTCATCTACGGTATTTTGATTGATGTAATTCGTAATTATTCAGTGATAACTCATTTGTAACTAGAACGCATCCTACTAAACGAAAGCGCCAAGCGAGCAAAATATGATAAGCAAGCGCCAAAGTTTGTGCGTGTTTTTTTTTTGGTACAAGCCGCAGCACGAGAACATTACGCGTACTTAATACTTGGTAACAAATCAAAGTACCATTTATTTCTTGGAACGCCTAAATGTTACAGTTAAATGCACGTTCTATGAAACACCTCCCTAAATGCACGTCTTCTCTTGGGCTCAACTAATATTACATCTATAGATTTTTACCTCCCTAAATGCAATACCTCTCTAAGTGCACGTTTGACTAAATTTTTATATATGGTCCCGTCGCATTGCATTTAGGGAGGTCTGATTGTATTGAAAAAAAAAGAATTGGTGGCTTCGTTACCGTCAAGTCGAGACTTAAGCCTATGCGCTGGAAAAAAATACTCTTCCAGCTTTGTAGGTTGGGATTTGATAGTAGGATCGTCGTCCTCTCGTTCCGTAGCAGAAGGAGAAGTATACATTGGTGTCGAAAATATTTGCTCTTGGCGTACTTTATTAAAAATGTCATTTTGTAGATCTACATCTACTGTGATTTCCCGTGATAATTAACCAATCAAAATACATAATTTTTAAAATAAAGTTGCAGACATTTAGAATATCAGTGACGGACGTGACATATTGATGTCTGTAACTATATTCATAACTGATAAATTAAAGAATTTATCAAAAAGTTCCTATACACAGATATTCAAATCATCATGATCTTTGATGTTTGATAAGTCCCTAAACCGGATCTTTGTCGCTATCTCCGCTAATATTAAAAGTTTTTTTATCAATCTATATATAGTTAGCCCTCGCTATAATCACACCTACTGTTGTTAGGCAAAACTATTTTTGGCAAATGGCAAAAGTCGAAACTAAACCCGGCAAAATTCAAAACTGGCAAAACTCTGGCGAAACGGCGAAACTATGTCAAAACGGCGAAACTCTGGCAAAATGGCGAAACTCTGGCAAAGCTAAAACCCTGGAGAAAGTCAAACACATCGAGGATCAAATCCTCTAAGACTTTAGAAAGACTGAGCTATGTTGGTAAATTAAAATATTTTGCGTATTGTTATTAAGCAAATAATATACAAAAGCAATAAACAAAGCGATAGCCTTTTGTTTGTGTTCGAGTACTATTAAAAAAACTAGACTTCAGGCTTTCGAACTTAAATAAATTCAGCCTTGAAAATTCAAAGCATGAAATCCTATTTTCTTTTTACGTAGTAGTGCTATCTATGTATTAATATTATTCATGTAAATAAACATATCTAAATATTTAAATAAATTTATTGGTTTTTCGCAATAAGTTTTAATCACAAATACTTCATTAAAATTATTTGTGAAGGCAAGTCCCGGAAGGTCAG